ATACTATAAAAAAAACCAAAAAAATAGTCAATGTAAATAATATATGTAAAAACACAGAAAACAGATTTTAAATGATTCATATATATAAGTGTAAGACATCTTAAAAAAAATACTATAATATTAAAAATCCAATTATTTGTCAAAGTTATGGCACATAGATTTTATAAATTTGTATCGTGTGAGCCGAGCAGATTTGTATTTCATAATTTTTGATTGGTTAATTTCTAGTCGCTTGAGTTCTTTCGATATTTTCAAAAAATGTACACTATTTATCAAAAATTATGAAATACAAATCTGGTCGGCTCACACGATACAAATTTTTAAAATTTTATTTTTATTATCATGCATTTTTTTAAGATGTTTTACACCTATAAACTTATGTTTATTAATTATTATGTAGGTATACGTAGTCATTTAGACACATTTTCAATAAAAAAAAAAAATACAGTGTTAATCAAAATGTTTTTTTGTTTACTATAAATAATATTTTTTTGGGCGAAAACCAAATCACTCTTTTTGCTGTTTGGGTAAAAAAGGTCATTTGGGCAAAAACCAAAAGGTCGATTTTGGGCGAAAACCGATTCGCCCACAATAATATATCAGGGGGACGAGGTGGCCGAGCGGTCGAACACGTCGTCTGCGGCGCTGGCGGTCGCGGGTTCGATTCTCTCGACCACTGGGCGGCATTTTTCTCCGGGCAAGTCACGGTGTCCCGAGAACAAGTGCCGCCATCCCCCACTCCGGGGCATGGCAGAAACCTATACGGGTGCCCCAATATAAAATTCTGCCAAACACAACACACACGTGTAATAACCCTACAACTACAAACCCTACTACCTACAATAAAAACCCCTACAATCAGCTAATGGCCATAGTCGCCGGGCTTTAAAAGATCAATTAAAAAAAAAAAAATAATAATAATATATCAATGTTATTCTGCAAAAGATGGAAATGGTACGTCATAGTCTGAGATGACTGATCGTGAAATAACAATGTCGATGTTTCCGAATGGTTTGTCCGCGGATTGTACGGAATTTTGTCAAAATTCCAACTTCAGACGTTTATAAAAAACTGTTGTGAATTTACGTTCCATTTTTTTAAAACTACACTAATAACAACATATGAGTAACCTTGTATTAGATTTTCATGACTTTCGACCGAACAAACTATCGTTTATCAGCATTAATTTAAAAAAATAACACAAATTGAAAATTTCTGATGCCTATAAATAGCTTAACATTTTGAAAATTGTAAAAATATATAATATAAAAATTCGAGGAAATTGAAATGGGTGGGCGTGTGGACCATGGATATCCCTAGAAATATTTGACCTAAGTACTTATTTAAATACTTAACTGCGCCAGTGTTCAGTGATTGTTTTTTTGTTAGTAAATATTCAAAAAATATTAATTGTAGAAATTTTAAATATTCCATAATAAATTGAATTATTCATTTCTATACCTTGACAATTAATTTTTCAAAATATTTTGATTAAATTTTATCTATTTATAGCTAGAAATTGGTACCACTAAATTATTCACACCGTTTTGTGGTAGGTACTAGCCAGTAGCCACTAGGTTGTATTGACTTACAACCATAGTTATTACTTTGCATGAGAACTCACAGGGACTTCTTGTTCAGTGAAGCCTATTATTATGTTGAAATAAATAAATATACAAATACACTCTAATACGTAAAAAAGGAAACAATATTTTGTTTTTGAAAGACAATTTTATTGTGTACACAACAAATGTAATTTTACAATATATTTATTATAGTTTAGGTACAATCAAAAGTTTTGTTTTTTTTGAATTATAAATGGCTCAAAGTGGCCTTTTTTTTTTTTTTGAATTATAATTTTGAAGATTTTGAAGATTTTTCGAAATATAATAAACGGCTCAAAGTGGCTTAATGGGGGAAAAAAGAGGGTAAGTGGATGTCGCTCTGCTGTACAGAAGGGTTATAGTTATAGTTATAGTTACAAGTGGGTCATTGTATAATGGATTGTATTAAACTTGAATTCAATGATCCAATACCATTGTATAAGAAAAACGATTCTGAGCGGAGACGGTTTGTCAGTCTAGATATTTTATATTGTCATTAATTATTATATCATGTAAGTTGAAATAATATTATAATATTATTATTTTTATTCGTTTCTATGGTAATAAACAAAGCGTTAGAAATTAAAATCCAATTTTTTTCGGTTTTTCGTAATTTCTCTGTGGTTTTTACCGTGGCATTAAATAACTATTGAGAAAATCGAAAAATGACCTTTTTAAAGTACCATCTTGATCCAATTTGCTAAAAGATAATGTACTATATATTGAAATCTAAGGAGTGCCTTCTGGTAGAAATTTTGTATACAGCATATAAAAAGAAGAAAACACCATGGTTTGTTAAACCACTATAGCTTCCTCGCTCCTCTCAGAATCTAAAAAACACCTGACAAGACACAATAAGCAGGGGGTACGTGATGGCAAGGTGCTTGCATTTAGGAATAAGGCTACTGGTCACCTCTATACGTTATAGCGGCTCAACCCACAGGCGGACGAGTGCAGTTACCAGTCGCCAGAGGGTTTACTCGTGAGTGACGACCATCATGACGGCTGGCGAAGTCCTGACCGCAACGCCCACGGGAGCGAAGAGACGACGAGTGGCTAATGCACGGTGTTGTGCGCATCGACGATGTGCAGGTACTGTAGACGACTGATGCGTGGCGATGGCGACGGAAACCTAAAACACTGAGAGAGCAGAGGCAGCTGTTGGTGCTACGGAATCAGCCGGCGACCGAAGACGTGACTCGACCGATTGTCACTAGGTGAAAACGAGAGAGGATCGTCGGACCTCACAGCAAAGCACGTCGCAAAGGTCCTGATCCTCTCCACGTGATTTTCGCCCTGACTCGACCGAGTCACGTGGCCGTCCAGGACTCGCGCATCATCGTACCCTGAAACGTTATCCGTTTCTACGAGTCCAGCTATGATGACATCCTTTTGTTCCTAGCTCGGCTGTATCCGCTCCCTCGTTGTGTTTAGCAGTCTCTGCCGCCGCCGCCTTTGCGAGTCGCCTTCGTGCTCTCTGCCATCGTCGTGGTACCGTCGGGGCGGTATCGTTGCCCGCGCCGGTACAGCTATCCACTGCCGTCGTCGTCGTCCATCGCTCCTGGTGTGACCGAAGCAGCAGGGCCCGCGCCGAGTCGTCTTGATGGTCTCGCGTGTCGGCAACCACGAGCTCGCGACGCTGGTGATTGCGATCTAGTTTTTCTGCGGGTGGCCGTAAAACGTATAGGGTGACTTACCGCCGGACACCGTAAAGTGCTCTTTCACGTACTGTCTTGTCTATGTGTCTTCGTCTGGGGGGAGGGGAGTTCTACACTGCCGGTTTCACGTTCGTCGGCAACAACCGAACGGCAGCAGGCACTTCGCACCCTTCCACGTGGCAGCGAAAAACCACCTTGTCCTACCACGTGGAATGTTCCTCAGAACCGCAGTGATGGTTGTCTCCGGTGCGTTATTCCATTCCAGTGTAGATGTGTCAGTCTCTTCTTTAAGTCCCCCATACGGAATTGTGTCTGCATTTTCAAGCTGAACCTGCACTTTGTCTCCGGCCTGCTGTAGTAAGTGGCCCTGCTCGGCTGGTCCGGACGTCTCTGAGGGTACCGCCGTACCGGTACTACAGCAGCAGCGTCTCCGCTGCCTTCCTCGATCATGTAGAAGGCATCAGCCGTATCATGTTCACCAAACAACCAAATAATGTCGCCTAGTATAGCGCGTCTTCGTCCTCGTCGTCATCTAGTTTTGGTTCTAAATCTTTAACTTTGAGTGTTGGTGGTTCTTCATCTCCCATTGGCATTACCCATGTTTTAACGCATTCAACAACATTTATCATGGTGATTTCTTGAGCGAAGTCACTACTAGTGGTGGCCATTTTGTTTTTTGGTGTTTTCAGGTCAGAAGTTTAATTGCAAATGAACTCGAAGTTCAATTCAAAATCAGTTTACTCGAAAAATTCAAACATTTTCCAGACAACGGATACACAACGACGCGAGTATGGTCATCGTTGCGAAGTCGTTTGTTCTAATCAACAATCGTTAGGATTTCGGGCCCGTTTATTTTTCCAAGACCATTATTAATGATATAATATATTAAACTATAATATTTGAACAACGATTTGTGTTTCGATTCGTATTATCCGCTGCACAACTGCAGTGTTAATTTTATACTTTCAGGTTAAATCTTTTAGATTCTGAGTGAAACAATGGATGTATTGATTTTACAATGGTGTGTATTTTTTTTGTGTATGCTTACAACTTTTATAGTAAAAAAATGATCCAAACTTCAATTCTAAGGGACAAGGGTGATTTCTGATGCGAAATTGTACTTAGTTAGAGAACATTGAGAGATTTTTATTGAACATTATTTTTACCTACCTGACATCGTTTATCTATTACCTGCAGTTAGTACTTGGAATAGTTCAATAATTCCAAGAGATATTTATTCTTCATATTTAAATATTATATTTTATAAACCTTCTATGACCAGATGAATTTATTAGATTTTAGGTTTCCGGTTAAATTTGTTCCAGTGACTAACAATATATTATGTAAAAAGGAAAATATTTTGCCCTCCCCTAGACAATTTTCTGTGGACGCCCTTGGCCTAGACAACAACATAATAATATTATTATTAATTAAGTATTTAAAAAATCCCGCTAAATGTTAAAACGGTTACAACATTCCATAAAAACCTAAAATTACCGTACTCTAAAGATTGAGTACAGCAGTTGGTCACATTGTAATTTATTGTCCGCTATCAAATTGTTTATTTATCGTATAATGTCCTATCGTCAACTATCGAGTTAATTAATATTCAGAATATTATGATTTGTGATTGTCCCGGTTATTTTTTTTCATTTAAAATTTCGTTATTCTTTCCTTAATCCTTATTCTATAAATTGGTACTTTATTTTAAAATTGTAGGTTTTAATTATATTTCACTATGGAAGAACGCGAATATGTAATAGATAAAATGAAAGAAAAATTGGACGACTGCCGTTTATGTTTCAGCTCTACCAATGTAACAGTACACATAGGACAGCATGTTGACAAAAATACATCAATTGTTGAAAAAATTCAATACTGTACTTCACTAATCGTATGTTTTGTCATTTATTTAGTATTGTTGTCAATAAAAATTATTCTTTATATCTACTCTTAAAAATTAAAAATTAAAATACAGCTTAAATTCTATCAATCCATCATACCTATTGATTTTACATTAATAATAACGTTAAAGAACAAAATAATATTATACTTGATTAGTATTTTTAGTATCTGATTAGGTCACGTACCCATTAAAAAATGGTTTAATTATGTACCAACATTAAAATTCCCATACCTTATACCAGTTATCATATTATACCTATTTATATTTAATACTCATAGGTACTGTCACTATCGGAATTTGTTTATGATAAATTTTCAGGCAGCATGAAACAACCTGTTTTATGCTTATAATATATATACCGACTTGAATTTTATTTAGATCCTGACGTGTACTTGAATCCATTAATTCAATTACTTTTTCTATATTTTTAAACCAAACTTGTATAGCTAGGTGTAAATAAATCAATAAAGACAGATCCAACAAGTTGGTACCTAATTATTTTATAGTGTAGGTACTAACTGCTGACATTATTTTAGATATATATTATTAATAAATGTAACTTAGGTCTTATTTACTTATATTTAATATTATAATCAAAATTTAATACAATATTTGACTTTTCAGGTGACAGTGAATGATGATTTTCCTCAGAATATTTGTGTAACTTGTGCTGAAACCCTAGATTTAGTCTACAACTTTAAAAGTAAAGCAATAGCATGTGATCTGGAATTATCAAGGAACGTGCACAAGGACACACATTTCACTTATGTTCAAGTATCAGATGATCCATTAAATGTAAGTCTTATTAATAGGGCAAGGATTTACATGCAATAAAATAGGTACACATTTTATTTACCAGAATATGCCAAATAAAACATTTTTTTTTTAATATTTTACCAATAGTTTAAAATTTATTTTTTTAATTCTTCACATATTAATAGATAAGGCTTAGAATAATCGTCTTCGTGGAGAAGACCAACTATGACCTTACAAACATATCGACTGTCGACGTCTGTTGGCTCAACAGTTAGAAACCTAAATCGGCCCATCCCCAATTTCTGAACAAGAAATAGTATTTTCATTAACTGTAGAATTATTATTTTTGTGAATTATAGACTGGTCAGGAACACATTTACCGGTATATTTTCTAAAAAATTCTTATACAATGGAAAATTTTATTGATTATTTTGGTTTTTTTGGGGTTTTTTAATGTATTTTTGATGAATGACTGTTCAGACTGTTTTTTTTTTTTTTTTTATTAAATAAAACAAAAAACATTGTTATATATACTACCTTTAAGCAGAGCTTTAGTTGGTGGTAGAGAGTTACATGTTACAACTTAGATTATATACATATATTAATTACTAATTCCAGCAGCAATTTGATTAAATCGACATTCGACAATTAATTAAACATAAAAGAGGAAGTACAAAAGAATGAAGTTAATAACACCATAATTACACATAATTGTACATACATAATATTTAGACATTCCTTAAAAGCTAGAGATTATATTTCTTGTAGAAGCCAATTGTAGATTATTATTTTATGATTAGATTTGGGATTTGATCTTATTGTTTTCTTGATAGCGAAAGGCATTGCATTGAAGAAAGTTGGTCCTAAATAGTCAACGAATCTTTGTCCAATAGTTTTTTTAGTGTAATTATTTGAGATGTCATATGTTCTATTACGTTTTGAATATACAATATAATTTACAGGAGTATTTTTAATAAGAAACATGATCGCGAATTTTTTGTAAAGTAAATTAATAGGTAGAACGCCCAAGCATTTATAATTTAATTTAGTTGATCCTTCTAACGTGTTTTTGTCAAGGCATTTACAAACTATTTTGTTTTGCTGTATAGTTAAAGGCTTAATAGCATTTTCATATGTACCACCCCAGGCAATTATACCATATTGAAAAATAGCTTGGTAGAGAGACAGGTATACTATACGCATAGTATCTGGTGAGATTATTTTCCACAAACAATATATTTTGTACATAATTGTCCTTAGGCGCATAGTCATACTGTTTATGTGAAGTTGCCATTTCATATTTTGGTCGAAGATTAGGCCTAGGTATCTTACCCTAGTTACCCTTTTTATTTTGCAACCATTATGGTTGCATGTATTATCTGTGATATCGATTTCATCAAATGGGCTTTGACAGGAGTAAAGAGAAAAAGCTATAAATTCTGTTTTATCTAAATTTAAAGTAATTTTTTTTGTATTTAGTTTTCGAATAATTTGGTTTAGTCCAGTAGATGCTTTAGCATAGACTGAGTCCCATGATGTATCAGAGTACAGTAAACATGTATCGTCTGCATATGTAAATATTGAACCATCCGTCTGCAAGTCACAAATGCTGTTTATATATATTATAAATAAAATTGGGCCTAAAACACTTCCTTGAGGAACCTCACAGTTAAATACAAGTTCTTTCCCCAAAACATAATTTACCATAACCATTTGCATTCTGTCCTTTAAGTAACTTGCAAACCAGCTTAGACTATTATTTTTTATTCCAAAATTTGGTAATGTTTTTAACAAGATTTTATGGTCGACAGTATCGAATGCTTTAGCGAAATCTAGGAAAATCCCTATAGTTTTATCACCACGATCCAGCCCTTTATATATATATGCCTAGAAACACTATAGATTGCATCCACAGTACCTACACCTGGCCTAAACCCAAATTGGTTCTTAGAGAGAAGATGATGTTTTTCCAGGAAACTCATTAATCTAGATTTCACAATTTTTTCTAAAAGTTTAGAAAAATTGCATATCATTGAAATTGGCCTATAATTACTCATACTTTCTTTGTTTCCATTTTTGAAGAGTGTTTAGATTTAGCTTTTAAATAAATATTTTTTTATGCTTGTATGTACTTAAATGTTGTACCACCTGAAAAAGTAATTCTACCGGTCTTCCGACCACGATAAGATTAGATAGGTCGTATATTTATGACAGTTTGCCAAATAACCAAATACTATAAACCAGGGGTGATGGCCACTAATCTTAATTTGGGGAGCCTGAATTTATAAAACTAATTCAAAGTGAGCCACATTGTTAAGAGATGTTCATAAAATGAAGCCACATTTTTCATTTTATAGCATATAAAGGAACATATATATTTATATTTAAAATTTGCTTATTTATTTATAGAAATACCTTAGAGCCGCACAGAACTGACTCAAGAGCCACATTCAGCTAGCGAGCCTCTTTGTGGCCACCCCTGATATTCACTAAATAAATACCATTTAAAATGAACAATATTATAAAAATTAAAGTTTAAAAATCATCAAAATTAACACGGTTCTCAAAAATCTATTTAAAATATACAAAAAAAAAATTTTTCTATTTAATTGAAAATAAGCCAAATTATGGAAGTATCTTATTACAATCAATAAAATTGAACTTAAGGAAAAAAATATTCAAATGCATATAAATCCTAGTCTCAGTTACCCTTAGTTATTAAACAATATATTATGAATGTATTCATTAACTTTGTACCACTTTATTAGATTACATACAAGTTAGACTTGGAAGAACAAGATTCTTCAGCTGATTTATTTGATAGTTGCTTATACAATATAGTTGATGGTGATGAACTAACAATTGAACCGGTCACAGTTGATCCAAAAAGCACACCTACTGTACACATTGATGAGAATGCAAGTACAATGAAAGAAATCATGAATAATGACAACAAAAAATCAAATATTATTGTAAAAAAATTGAATGGGAATTTGAACAGCTATCAAGGTTCAAAAACTAACAATGTAAGTGTAAAAATATTTTAAAACTAAAACAATTTTTCATTTAAAGGTTATGTTATTTGTTTTAGCAAAAGAAAAGTACATCAGTTGATTTAAAACGAAATGCAGATGTTTCTTTATTTGACAGTGAAAAACGTAAATCAAAAAAAATAAAAACTGAAAATGAAATGGACAGTGAAAAACCATTGGTTATTGTTAAAAATGGTAAAGTTGTATATATTTGCGGTGAATGTAATTATGAAGCAGAATCAATGATGTTCCTAGTCAGTCATCGAGCTCGCTTTCATTTAGACATGGGTAATTTCAAGTGTTCAGAGTGCCCAACTTATTACAAAACTTCAGGGCTGCTTAAGCGACATATGTCAATGTATCATAATGTTACCCATATTTGTAAATATTGTGAAAAAAGATTTTCAAACAAACAAAGTCTTGATCGTCACACCAATTGCCATCATAATGAAACTCCATTGGAGTTTCAATGTGTGACATGCAATGCATATTTTGATACCATGGAAAAAATGGAAGACCATTTGGTAGTACATTATACAAGTAATTCAAATACATTTAGCTGTAATCATTGTGATCGTATGTTCACCACATACGCAGCAAAAAACAAACATATTGATCTTGAGCACATGATTGAAATTGAGTGTGGCATTTGCCACGTTGTCTTACCGACTAAAGAAGCAATGGATAAACATAATAATTCTGTACACCCACCTAAGAAAAAAGAAAACAAAATGTATGAGTGCACTACGTGTGGAAAATATTTTTCTGGTATAAAAGAAGTTTTAATTCATAGAGAAACTCATTTATCCAAAAATGTATAGTGCCAATGGTTTATCAAGCGGGATATTTTTAAATTTTTTTAATATGCTATGACTGAATTTATATTTGTATACATACTTATTTATTTATGCAAAATTATTTTAAATTTGGATTTTAATTTTGAAAATTACTTACTGCTTACAGTGAGTATAAATACTAAATATGTTTTAGTGTTTATTACAAATATTGGCATTATGTTCTTTGTGTTATAATATTAAAATGTTACTGTTTTTTTTAATTATCAAAGGTAAATTAAGGCTATTATGGCAATTCACAGCAAAGGCCTATGTAACATTACTTTTAAAAATATAATTACAGATTTTTTTAATAAAATTTATGCAATAAAATGTACTAATAAATCATGAATGAAAAAAAGTACAGTTAGTTAAAATTAATATTGTCTTTATTAATGTAATTTAGTTTATTAAATTAAAATAAATTAAATTGTTTAGTTTAAATGGCACCTTCATTTTTGATATGAAACCGTTAGTCTAAAATAACTGATGCAACAATTATTTTATAAAACTATATACCAATGAAAACAAAAGAAAACCTAGAATTACCCAATACTATTTTTTAGTTTTTATGTCATTAGAATAATTACATTTTTTTTATTTTTGGGGATAAAGTTTTTTCTTGTATTCAATGATTATTTTGAATTCATTTAAATCTGTCTCATGATATCATTGTAATAATTTGATCAGTTGCTAAATACTCAAAACATGATATTATACCACCTTTTTAAAAACTAATGTCAAAAAGGTGGGCGAGTGGATGTCGCTTTGCTGTACATTAGGTTACAAGTGGGTCACTGTAATAGATGGTGTTCAAGTTGAATTATAATATTATAGTAGACTAAAATTGATTCTGAGCGAATACGGTCAGTCAGCCTATAATATATTACTAAGTATATTTGATGATAATATTATTGTGAATAAAGTATTTTATTCAACTATTTACGTGGAACCTTGTTTTAAATTTTCAATCCTTACCATAAAAGTTAAACATTTTATAAATTTTTAGGTACAAAATCATTTTTAGATTTTGAACGATAAATGTATTAATCTTACAAATTACAATGATGTATGTTTTTTATTTTTGTGTATCAAATTTCTTCAACATTAATATTGTAGCGATTTTGTTATTTTCTTGTAATGCAAAAACGTTTTAAAAAACTGTAGATACATGAAAACAGGGCGCCCACATAAAATTCTGGGCCCCTGTACTAAATGTTTGTCCAGTCCCTTTATAAAACTTCCAAATTTACAATTTACCATCGACACATATACATATAAAACATTTTGGAATAATATTTTTTTTGTTTTTAATTATAACAACTGGAATTCAATATTCATAGTTAAGACAGCACAACGTCTAGTTATAGTGAATTACCTATAAAAATCAAGATTCATAATCATTTTAAGATTAATAATGTATTTTTTATTTTTTTATTACAATATCAGGTATCTAAATGAAAAAAATAAAAATCAATTTTATATTTTAATTTATATTTAATATATTTTTTTAAATTAAAATTTTATTTTACGGGCTTTGAGCTCAGCAAACTCAGTTATTATGTCATCAAAATGTGTTGTCGAAGCCAATGCATTCTCCATGGATAAAAGAGCAAGGGAGTTTAGTCGTTCTTGTTGAGTTATAAGTTATAACAATGTGTAATAGAAAGACGACCCTTTACTTCTTTATCATCTTTTTCTAATTTTTCCTTGTTTTCCTTATTATCACTGACTTCGACTGTACATGCTTGATAATTTAAGAGTTCACTGATTTAGAAATCAAAATACTGCCTACTACTTAACGTATTTAATACCTATAATAACTTTTTTAGTACCGTCGTCCAAGGCCGTAACTGGAAAAAAAATTCGAGGGGGGGGGTCTAACATTTTTTTAAATATAGATACCTACTAAACACTTCATTTTTACGTTAAAAATATAAAATTTTATTATTATCATTATTAAAAACATAAGTCATTATTATAATATGATACTACTAAAGATGAAAGTTTTTGATTATTGCCTTTACCTCCAAATTCTTGACCAAATATTACACAGTATTTACATAGGGCACCACCATTATCAATTGTCGAGTAAACAAGCCATGGAAAACGTTCAAACCAGTTAAATTGAAATTTTAGTTTTTTTTTTTGAAGTTGTGGATGTTGGAAATACATAATTTTTATCTGGCATTCAAGGAGAAGTTAAAAATTTTAATTTTAGTTCACCACATACATTTTTATTCAAACAGTACCTAACTAATATCGTTGTTTTCAACCTCAATTGTTTCGTTATAGATTGAATTCAACCCATTATTTTCCTGATCAGATGATAAGTTAATATCTACTTGTGTTTGGACAGTGGGGACATCATCAGTCTAAAATAAATAAAGTAGTAGGTACTTTTTAATTTGTCTATACTGTAGGTATATTTTATATAATAATAATCAAATAAAAAAGTAAATTTTTAACATACCTTTTGTCTCTTTGTAAAATAATTTTGAAGTTGGTTTCTTTTACTAATTTTTTACAGTTTACGTGAGCACGAACAGCAGTAAAATTAATATTTTACAATACACAATATTGTTATATTCTTGTTTCATAATTTTAAATAATTTGGATTTTCTGCGACCGAATTTCATATTTAAGTTTATATCATCTGTGACAATCACCTTTTATTGTAACTAGTACCTAACCGTATCTATCAATCCTAATCTTTATTACGACGTTGAAATAAAATAAAATAATAAATTTTATCTTATTTTAAATTACTGCTTTAAAGAAAATATACAATTTATAGTTAATAAACTATATTCACCTCTAAAATGCTTCTACTTTTAAAAATTTCGGGGGGGATCCGGACCCCTGGACCCCCCAGTTACGGCCTTGCCGTCGTCCATCGGTATGCTATCGCTAATCGCTATCTGTGAGTGGTAGGCCTATATTGTTATTATTACAGTCAGTGGTGTCATTTCTGTTTTTAGTGGAGGGGGGTAAAAGTTTTGACCAGTCCAAATGGGTAACTTAAAAAACAACCACTGGCAAGCACATATTAATATATTACCCATGTTCCTGATCAATTTTTACACGGCCGTGGCTTGCCTAAGTTCTCCCATGTGTGTAACATGCAGATGTCTGAGTTTTATTTTAGATTTTGCAGGTTCCTATAACCCTTATCATAAATTGATTTAATAATACATAATTTTTAAAGTTTGAATAATCCAGAAAATCCTGTACCTGCAGTACGGCTAGCGGCTGTATGATATTATACAAGTAAAAATTACTAATTAGTAATATAACAGACTATATGCAAAGAACTGTTCAAAATATTATTTAATATAGGTATCTAATATTTATCAAATTTTTATTATTTTAGAGCAAATTACCTATTATACAGAAAAACCAGGAATTTTTATGGATACATCACGTAGTTTGTTAATAAATTAAGAAATAAATTAAGAAATTACGGGTCGACATTTTTACAGTCGGCAAATGCCTGATCTCATCCTCCCGTCAAAATCGTATAACGCCGGCCCTGCACATAGCTATATACCATTCTTTTTAAACAACCTAACTATAATATGTAAAAAACAATACCTATTGTGAATTCACAACTGGTACGTACAGTATCAAGAAAAAAAAATACGAACGCTATATTCATAGATAGGTACTCTACAAGTATAAGCAACAATACACAGGTAAATAAATACACAGTTCACTTTACAGCTTAATCTTGTAAATCTTTATTAAGTTCTACGAACCATACCAAAATGCTTACATGTCTTCTGATTAAATTTGTTTGAATCGTTTATTGTATTCTTATAATTAATATTCTACATTTACATAAAATAAATATCAAGTTAACTTAAATGTATCCAATAAATTTGTCATGAGTTTTTTACGCGTGCGTTTCCTATACTGAAATTAGTATTGAGAGCTGCTGTGGTCGGGCTAACGGTATATGTTTAGGCGTATCTGTTTTTTTGCACCAGTTGAACTTATTAAGTCTATGGGTTGTCCGTGTAATCAGGGTTGGGCAGTATCGAAGATACAATTGTATCAACAGTATCATGTACCATGATATATTTTATACTAGTATTATGTATCTTACTTTGACAAGAAATACAAGATACTATTATTGTAAGCAATTGTACCGAATAGTACCAAGAAATTTGATTTCGATTTGCATTACACTCGAAACTTCAAATAATTTAACAATGTTAGAACTTATGATATTATTTGAAAAAAAATTAAATTAAATTAAGATGCCTGTATGGCCGTACTCTGTACTTTACAGTCATACAGATAAGGACTAAACTGGAATTTTCGTTCTCATAAAATATGAATCTGCTACCTAGATATGAGTGAAGGTATTGTAGGTCATTCGACATAAAATAGAAAATAAAATCAAAAGTACAGATAAGCTAACTAAACTAGCAAATTTAATTTAAATATCCATTTTTACCGTATAGCACATTAAACATTTAAAAGTATTAGTTATACATTTATAATGTGTATTGACTTTTTGTATTATTTAATATATTTTACGACTTTATAAGTATTGATGTATAGACAGAATAGTGTATGGACGTTTAATACCTGGTTACAGGTTAATACAATTAAATTGGAAATATAAAATATGGAGTACCGTGTATCTTGTATCTTATATATTTTCTACATTTACAATGTATCTTCTATCTAGATATACATACAGTAAATGTATGTATCAAGTATCATGTTTCATGATACTTTTTCTTGAGTATCATGCCCAACCCTGCATATTGTAACTCATGTTCAAGTCGATCTACAAAATATTCAGCCCGTCATTGTCGAGAAAAATGCCACGTGGCCATGACTTGTGGGTCATAATTTCAAATTTGAGCAATTGTTCATATAGTTAAGTCTTAAAAAAAATAGCATTAATTTAACTAAACTAAACGTATAAAAATACAAATAATATAAATAAATAATTTAGAGTGTCTGCGCGCGTGAGACAAATCCGCTTGTCGAGTGTTGATGCCGCCCGTTTCGATCAAGAGTTAAAACAAAAATAAGTACAACAAATAAATTTCACTGCTATCCAATATGACGACGGACATCGATGATGCTTTGTCTTCTAAAAATAAATTAGTAAATAAAAAATGTCAACTATAAAATAATACAGTGTCGCTTTTAGAGATAATAATAGCTTTTACAATATCTGAGCTAGTTCAAATATTGTTGTCGCTTTATTCATATCCGGACGGGAAAACTGCAGTGTAGCTGTCTAGGACTAGTTGGCGGCGAATCCGTTTATCTTGGCCGCGCTATACGGGAACTGATTGGGAGCGTGTCCGTTGACCGACGACGACGACGACTCGGAGACGGCCACCGATTCGCTGCCTTCCATCAGCTCGTCGGTCTCGCCGCCCTCGTCCGCATACTCCTGGTTGGTGCGCCTCGACGACGCGTACGTGCCCTCGTAAAGTGGCACCGACTGTTGAATCTGCACCGAAGTGTGCATCTGCACCGACTGCTCGGCCGGCGACTTTTCCGCGGGTTTCGACGCGTCCGCTACTCGGCTCGGCTCGTCGTTGTTGGCCGCCGACTGGGCGATCTGCGCCAGAACGCTAGCCGTCTGTTCGTTGGGGACGGCCGAGTAATACTGGTCTCGGATGCTCTGCAACTTCCTCTGATCGGGTTCATCGTCCTCCGCCGGCACTGCTACAGGTGGTTGTTCCGCTGATCCCTTGTCGCCGTTCCTGGGCTCGTAGTCGTCCTGTTCCTGCTGGTACTGAACGTCGTTGTCCAGCTGCTGTTGTTGCTGTAACTGCTGCTGCTGTTCTTGCTGTAACTGTTGCTGTTGTTGTTGCTGTAACTGCTGCTGCTGCTGCTGCTCCCCCTGTTGCTGTTGTTTTAGCTGCTCGCGTTGCTGTTGCTGTAACTGCTCCTGTTGTTGCTGTTGCTCTTCCTGTTGCTGTAGTATAAGCTCCTGTTGCTGTTGTTGCTTTTGCGCTGATATTTCAGCAGCGGCAGTCTGCGCGCCGTACTGTTCCGCCGATTGTTGTTGATACGGCTGCTGCAAGTGATCGGATTGAGCCTGGTATTGGATGGCTTGTGGCTGATATTGGACTGCTTGTGGCTGGTATTGGACAGTTTGCGGCTGCAAGTACTGGAGATCGGCGGTGGCCGGTTGCGCATACTGTAACTGGACACCTGTGGCTGTAGGCTGTTGTGCGTACTGTAGTTGGACTGGCTGCGCCTGGTACTGGATCTGTTGGCCGACTTGCGGATCCAACGACTGTGGTTGCGGTACAGCGTACATGACGGTTTGCGGTACCATGTATGTGGCCTGCGGTACCACGGCCTGGTTACTGTTCAACAGCGAGTACAGCTCTTGTGGTGTCAACGTATCAGTGGATCCGATATGCTCTGCTGACAGCTGTTGATGATGTTGATTTTCCAAGTGTTGTTGCAGAGCGATGTCCAGTGGAACGGTTGGTATCGAGTTGGAGTCTGTGCTGGGCGGAACTTTTACAGATGACGTTATTCCTAGGTCCTGGCCGAAGTACGACGGTTGGCTGTTAAATTGTTTGTAACCACTCGGCACTTCGGTTACCTGAAACACGGTACGCTGTGAGAATCATCTTCTGATACAATATAATATTATAATATTAAATATTATTTATGAGTTTTCAATTATGGTAATATAATAATTATCCCACTCGCTGTACAAATTACTGAGGTTAACAAATACCAGTTCATCGTGTTTTTTTAGCAATAACTAATGTTTTCTAAAACTTATAATACTGATTCAATTATTTGGATTAGAATATTAGATAATAGCACATTTTTATATTCAATATATCGTAATGGATCTTTGATCCCAACGGTTCTCAAATTAATGTGATTAAATTTACTAAATAGTTAATTTGGTTAATTGCAGGGTAAATTAAATTTACCTACTTAATTTTAAAATAAATAAGAAACAAAAATCAAACTTTTCCATCGATACTGGGTAGAAAATAATTTTTTTTATATTGAAATTAGATAAATTTATGTTATAGGTACTCTACTATTTAGTGGAACTCATTTCATAAACTATAAATGTTTTAAATACAATGCTATTGATTTTTTTACATCGTTTAAAAACCTGTGCTATATCTAAAACACAAATCAATATTTTGTCAGTAAATTTAAAAGTTCTTATTGGAAGCTTAAAAATTGTACTAGTCATTGTTTTGAAACAAAAATAAATCATCTTGCTTTATGAAACTTTTATTTTACAATAATATCGATTTCCAGATACGAATTTATAATTGAGGCAATTATAAAAATAATAGGACCAGATTTCCAGCAAAATTGGTTACTTATAGAATAATAAAAAGTGGTCAATTTTTTTAACAGTTATAGCTAGTTTCCTATTTTTTTTATACATTTTCTAATTATATGTTATGTGCATGTCTCGCGTGCACTTATGAATGAATTTGCCTACTGTCAATGAGTGGAATAATATAGGTAGTTAGATACTACGCTATGTAAGAACATACCGATTATTATGTATATAATATGTATAATATGTATTTACAATCATTCTTTCCTTTCTCTGATTTAATGCCATATTATTATAATGAAACTGACATTACACATTTAGTTTTATCATTGCGTTTGACATAAATTTAAATTTTGATTTTTTGTTACCTATTATTTCCTCATAATTTCTATTGTTGTCTTTTGAGAGAAAGTAATATTAATATTTTCACGAATGTATTTTAAAGACAACTGTCTAAACATTTTAAACTATAATTAACTAGGTACTATTGTACCAATACCTGCTATTATATTATTGTCCATCGATATTTGACGAGTACCTATATCGGATACATTCTAGCTAATAGAAAACATATAATAATTATGGTGAGAGGTGACCTAACCATATATTAAAAAATTATCACCACGTCTAGATAAATATACATACATTTTTATTAACTCCAATATATTATTTAATTTTCGTGGACTTCCCGAGGTGTATATAGAGTAGGTACCAATTGGTGCATGACTATATGCTATCAAGATAGTCATGTATATGTTTAATAATTAATAAATACTTATACTATAAGTAAATAAGTAATTTATTATATTTATAAAGTAAATGTATCCATTATCATTTCTAATAAATTATTCTAAACTATAATAGATTTTATATACTTATTAATACCTGGTACGAAGGTTTTTCGTCCGTTATCGAATTGTCCAAAGGTTGAACGTAAGATTGTTGGTGTTGTGCCCTGTACAATTGTTCTTCGAAGTTGGCTGGTTTGTCTGCTGGGTTCAGGTTCGGTGCCGGTATAGTCTTGATAGGACCCCTCTCGTCGTCGCTATTGATTATGTAAGATCCACTGGGTTTTTCCAGGAATGGGGCTTTAGTCACCGATGCTAGGGAGTTGGTGGCATCGGGGAAACGTGGTGGAAAATCGGGTGATCCAGATAATTGGGGTCCTGTCCAGACGTTGGTTATCTTAGGAGTAGGCCGTGCTGGTACTAATTGTACCCGCTGTTCAGGGCCACTATTAACTTGGCCCTGTTGAGAAGAATGATGAGGAGCGCCGTTCTGCAGCAAGTGCGGTTTCGACTGGAATTGTGGTCCTACTGGTCTTACGCTGTTAGGTGAATGATGGGGTTGTTGTAAATGTTGCTGTTGCTGTTGTTGTTGTTGATGATGATGATGTTGCTGTTGTTGTTGCTGTTGATGTTGGTGTGGGTTTTGTTGTTGATACTGTTGTTGATGTTTGCCGGGTGGTGGCAGATGAGGATATTTAGCAAAAGGTGGTGGCGGTTGGGGTGCGGGCCCACGTAAGCCTGGTGGTAGTGAATGAGGATTAAATTTCGTATAGAATTCATTTTTTCCCGAATGACCACTAGGATGAGGAGGGTACTTGGCGGGGATGGGTGCACCATTTGGAGACCTGTACTTGTGTGGAATTGGCAACGGTTGCGGAGGACCATAAACCGGTACTCCTAGTACCAGCTCCAAGGTAGTCACGAGCGCTAAAACAGTTAGCGCTACTTTCATCTGAAAAATGTAAACAAATTGTATTTTATTTTATTGACTGTGAAATAGTCTTTTATTTTACAATGCGTTTCAAGTACATTTGTATATATATATGTTTGGATCTATATAAAGATATTATACATTATTTATTTTATTTTTAACTATACAACACGGGTGGTAGGTGGAAAAAAAATCCCAGATTCAACACCGGCATAGAAGGTAAATGCCCAATTTCCAATTAGCACATTTAATGAACATTATAACCAAAAATCAGTGTACATTTAAACTACCTATACAAAATAATAATTATAATCATTGTAATCACAAAGTAGAAAAGGAGGGGTCAGAATTGGCTACAGAGTACAGACATACAACGTCGTAGTGGTTAATTTAAACTATAATTAGTTGAAAAAGTATAAGAAGGTTTAAAAGAACATATTGATGGATAAAACATACAGGGACTTTGAAAGGAATTTGAAAATTATGAAGAGGACAATCAATCATTAATATATAACTATGGAACATATTATTTAAAAAATCTGCATATTCTTTTCCTATTACAAACTGGGGTTTTAATTTGAAATCTGCAGACGACTAGGTATTTAATCTTTTATTCGTATTATTGACTGAAGTTTCTATACAAAGAAAGAGGCATATCAATATACAATATTAAAATATTGATGACCTATAGGTACATCAATATCGTATACACTATATTACACAATATAGATATTATTTGTTTTACAATATTTTATCTAAGGAATTATTTTTAGCAAGTTTAGGGATGCCATACGTCCCGTATTATACGGGAACGTCCCATAATTCATGACAGTGTCCCGGTGTCCCCGTAACAGATCCAATATCATAAAAATGTCCCGTATTATGAAATTCTCGTCCCGTATGTCCCATAAAAATAGAATACATTATTGTTTAATATTTGCATATATATTATATTCAAAATGTGTTTTCAAATGTCTAGACAAAAATATTTTTAACCACTGATTGACTGATAACATATTATTAACATAAATGTTTCCGGTCTATGCGTTCCTATCACTTACCGTTCGGTAAACAATTTGGAATCTGCTTCCTAACATCAATACCCAAAGTCAATATTGTGAATTAGGTACTGTATACTCGTTTCTTATCACTTATCAGTTATTTAGTTTTCAGTTATTCATAGTTTTCATTTGAATTTTATAGATATTTATTTTAAAAAAATAAATATTTTGTTCCTATCGTTTCTGTTCTTAGCCTAATATTTTTTTATTATAAACTCTAACAATAGCAACTATGCCCCAAGTTAAAAGAAAGTGCGTTTTTAATGAAAATTTACATTTTTTATTTAACTAGTTATTTTTCTTAATTGTTAAATGTTTTATGCCATATTTTTATATGGTTTCTTAAAAATCGTTTTTTCACAAAATAAACTGTATAATACTTATCAGCTCTAACATACTGGGATGGTAGGTACCCAAAGGCCAACGTTTCAACACCCCCCCCCCCCCCCAACCATAATTTAATTGTTTACAGTTTTGTCCCGTATTTTTTATTTTGAAATCTGGCATCCCTAAGCAAGTTTGAAGTTTCATAAAAAGAAAATTAAAGTTTTTGTTTCTAAATTAAATATTTACGAGTATAATCCGTTACCTAGTGAATGTTGATATTATTAAATAAACAATAAAATAACAAACAAACACTCCTTTAACCTGCAAATTACTATTTATTTTCACAATGTAAATTTCAACAACATATAGTCTTATTAATTCATTTTTAAAGGAACAACGGTTGCTGACTAATGTCTAGTCGAGACAATAATACTAAAAATATTTCTGCTCAGCACCAGAGTGCCCAGCTAGAGCAGTCTGGCCAACCTCATATTTAACAATATTAAATGTTGTTAATCAAAACCTAAGTACCTACCCTCGTATTAAAAACGAAATCACTTAAAAGTAATATCTAAAACAACTTAAATATAGTGGTTATCGTTAACTACAGCACACACCGATGACGAAGTTTTCACCGGATTACGCATTCGCTCTCGCCATCGACATCTACGATAGCTGATCGCGACGGGTAAGTATAGCATCAGCCATCAAGTATGGAGAGATGAGTTTCGTTTCGGATTTGATCGGCTATGAGGATGGTGTTCTGCTTTCTGAGTGAAAGCCCCGATCTCGAATTGCAACATATTATTTATAGGTAATATGATTAACGAACAGAGAACTCGATCGGAAAGGTATTGGTCTGCTGGTGGTTTGACAGGACTACGGTGACGATGTTTTACAGTGAAATTGTGGGTATTATAGGTATACGCGAAGTACGCAGTGTTAGTCTGTATTTCGGGTGCGACCGGAAAGAAAGTGGTTTATAATATAATTACTGCACAGGACGTCGTTCGGTTAGAGACTTATATTATTATTATCCGGTTTATCTGTACAACACACTCATACACAAGAAAGTCTATAGACTGCTTTCGCTACCTAACTAATCGGAACCACTGGAGCACATAGAAAAACACGTATGCCTGCATGTGTATTGTGTGCGTTTGTGTGTGTGTGTGTGAGTGTGTGTATTGAATTCCGTTAACGTGCAACTATAAGATGATCTTTTTGAATCATTTGGCAAGCGACGAAGATGGACTAAAAATATCTATTTATTAATTTAAATGAAAATATTTTTATTTGGTATTAATTTAATGCGATACAATAAAATATAAGTTTGGGCCGTAGAACTTTTACCCGATAAAGCTTTTAAAAACACTGAACTTTATGAGTTTAAAGCATATTTTGTACAGTAAATAGCTAGGTATATTGAAATTGCGAATAACTTCAATCACCAGTTGACGGTTGATATCTCACTAAATCTTCTATATACTACTCTATTATTAAGTATCTAACAACTATTCAATGTGTTTATTGACACAAAATATTATCCGAATATTATATCATGAAAATAATTATAAAAAATTTAAATAACGACGTTACACTATAACATAATATATGTTATAGGTATATATTATACGTACCTATGACAGGTCGCGGCGGATTTATTTAGTAATCTATATAATATATTATCTATCTACAAGTTTTATCAAAAAATAATATTCTATTCGTATATAGGTATTGTTGGAAAGAAAAATGCAAGTTCTATCGATTATAATGTTAAATTTTCCACTATGTTCTGAGTTATTGTTCTCAAATACTACTATTAAATTTACACGAAATGTAGTACCATAGTATTTACTAGTAGGTAACAATTATTGTAGTCTTGTGCGCGTTTTATGTTACGCCGTATAAAAATTAATTTTGAAATTATTATTAGTTTTATACAAAAATATTGTACATCTTATAATAAAGCATAGGTTTTTACTGAGACTCTTTTTAATATTCAATGAAAATTTGCCTTTAAAGAGTGTACCACAAAAACATTATAATATATGGAAATTCCATGGAATCGATAATCGGCGCATTTGTGTCAATATAAACAAAATATGTCTGGTGGAAATCAATAAGCCCATTTTATGAAATCTATTTAATAATAATATCGGACAAGGCAGTTATGTGTTTTCGTGTACCTATGTTGTTTGATGTTTATGTAATATAATATAATAAATAGATTGACGGTCACTGGTGTCGGTTGAGTGGCTATTTAATAAATACCTAATACCCATACCCAATATTTGTATTTTACCTACATATTTACGTAGGAGACAGGAGTATACGCTTAAATTGTTGATGTAATATAATAGGTGCATGTGTTACATCTCGATTCTCGGCACATCGCATACGTCGTTTACGGTGTACATAATATAAGCAGTATAAGCTAATATATACCTACAGGCTATACGCCTATACCGTAATCATATTATTTAATAAACTGCACTAAGGTACCTACTATCTAGTAATCACTAAACAGAGTTCAATTATAGGACTAATGACTCCCTATAAAAGTATAAAATAGAACGACATTCGTCATGAGCAGGATACTAAAATAATTTTGTTGACAATATAAAACTACAATTATGTAGGGTATGCATATTAATCAAACTTTTAAAGATATTCAAACAGTTAATTAGATCTTAGACAAGAAAATACTACGAATTTATCAAACATTCAAACGCCAAATCGGTCGTCGGTCGACTTAAACTTGTGTATTCGGAACGAATGAAAATAATCATCATTAGTATTCAGTTTTCGTAACTCTTAAGAGGCCATTCTACTCTGTTGAAACAATTCACAAAGTATCTTCTAAGTGTTAGGTATAAGCTTTATTTTAAAAAATAAATAAAATTAGAAAGTGCAAGAACTGTATAATTTTGAATACGTACAATATACTGACCTGGTCAGTAGAACAAACCAGGATATATTATTATTGCAATGCACGCTAAGCGAAAAAGTAGGCATACGATAAAGAAATAAGTGTTTACATTTTTACAACCTCAGGTCCTCAACCACAATCACAATCGGATGTGCGACAGACGCCTAGCTATAAAATGATTTGAGATTACAAAATTTAACGGATCTTTAATGATTGATCTAATATTATACTGTTTTACCGTAGCTAATATTTAATTCGTATCTAACCTAATAGTTTATCTATATTTACCTGAAATAGTTAATTTATTGGTATTTATCAAAAAGTTGAACAATGAACAATGAACATATTGTATAAATATTGGCAAATGTATGTACAAATTATTAAAAAAAAAAAGAAAAGTCATTATATTTTGTGTGGTTTATTTATAATAACCTTAACTAACTGAGTTCAATTGAAAATGGTCAACATCTTGTCAAATAATCAAGTATTTGTTTAAATTATTTATTCATAGTTTTTCTTCGTTTTATTGATCACTACTGCAAGGAAGCTCAAAAAATAACGTCTACGATATACTAATGCTATTCAATTTAATTTACAGGCAATTGAATTACCTGTAGGTATTTACAATTGCTAAATGAAACATTTTGATATTTTTAAGTTCTGAAAAATAAAACCATAACGCCGGGTTACACTTTCAATAA